AGATAGAAAATCCTTGGGGGCGGGTTGTTTCTTGGGCAAGTGCGAAAGGAAGAATTAAAGAAGGAAGGAAGGGAAGGAGAGAGCAACGGAGGGGGAAGGGAGGAAGGAGGGAGGAAAAATAGTCTCAGGCTGAGGGATAATCTGTAATTTCCCTTCCCTTGGTGCCTTCTTCTTTGTTTGGAAATAGGGGAAAGCACCGAGCAGCTGGAGCAGAGCCCTTAGTTTCTAAGCATCCAGCAGGGAAAAAATGTCACTGTGTACTGCAACTCCTCAAGCATTTTCCCCAGCCTTCAATGGTACAAACAGGAGCTTGGGGAAAGGCCTGTCCTCTTGATGACATTAGCTAAGGGTGGAGAAATGAAAGCGCAGAAGAGACTTACTGCTCAGTTTGGTGAGTCGAGAATGGACAGCTCCATGCACATCACTGCAGCCCAACCCCAGGATGCGGGCATCTACTTCTGTGCAGGGCACAGAGCTCCTGGGACACCTGCTGCTTGCACGCAAACCCACAGGCCCCAGCCACACTGCTGCCACATTTCTCCTCTTCCTCCTCACATACCGCCTGGCAGGAACAGTGAGAACAGCCTCAGCCCCTCATGGAACCATCTGCTGCCTTCCTAGACAATTCCCTCTTACTGTAGAACAAGAGTCCTCTGTGGTAAGACACACTTCTGAAAAGGTAGCTCACTATATGAGCCAGTAAAAGTACAGGTCTACAGTTCTCCAGGGTAAGCAGTGGGGGAAGAAGTGTGGATACAAAGGGACTAATGGAAGATATCACACAGAACAGCACAGTTCTGACTGTCATTCCTTTTCCCTAAAGACCACAGCCAGGAATGGCTAGTATAAGGGGACAGAAATGAATGATTTTGCAGTTTTATTCTAGAACTCTGCAGTTGGTGAAATTGCTATGCCCCAGTCCATTCAACTGGAGGAAAAGGAGGAAATAGAGTAAAAAATAATTGGAACAAGGTTGCTACTTTTTTGGACAGTAAAATGCCCCAAGTGCTCTCCCTGTGATACGAAGAAAAGATGCAAATACAAGATAAAAACACCTATCTTGCTGAGCTGTTATGAATTAAATGAGATAAAATATACAAAATTATATGAAGTCCCAGGTACAACATATATACTCAATAAATGTCCCTGTAAATAATATTGCTTTAATGGCTTTAAATAAGTGTTATCCCTACTGTGAAATGTTTGCTGACTCCTCTAAGAGGAATGAGTTCATCTCTGCCTAATATTTTGAATCCTTATCTTGGTAGTGAGGAAAGCAGACACTGCAAGCTGCAACCTAATCACCATTCTCTTTTGCTTCCTTGTTAACAAAACTCTCAATTTTAATTTGAGCAACTCTTTCCCCAGCTTAAAAAAAAAATAAGTCCACACTACATTTCACATCCTTTCTTGCAACAAGGGGTTGCATAGCGCACAATTCTGATCAATGAGACATAATCAGAAATCCCCTAGGGATTTCCTGTAATGTTTTCTCTCCTGGTAGAGATTTTCCTATCCACTTTTCCACCTTTTTTCTTCTGAAAACATGGAAGTGATAACTTCATTATAAAGAAAAGTGTAACTCCTTTCCACAGATCCAAGTGTCTGTTAGATGCCAAGTCCAATTCCTCCTCCAGATTTATTTTTACATGAAAAATTTAAATAAACCATTATTTGGTTGAGTTTTTGTTAATTGCAGCTAAACACAATCCTAACTGAAGTAGGACTGACATAAAATGGTTTTGTGATTTCTTGGGTATAGGTGTAAATGAAGAAAAAAAGAAATGAGGAATGTGTGTTGTATACATACAAAGAAAGGGCATGTGTACTGGACATATGTCTTTCTTGAAGGATTAATGCTCCTAATTTTTTATGAAGAAAAAAATCTTCATTTTCCATTGAGAGTCTTCATTTTAAAATTTCCAACAATTTCTTACACTCAAGGGAGACTATCGAATTCAGTTTTCATTCTCTTTTAACCATAGGCAATACCAATTTCTATGCAAATTATTAATAACTGTTGTCTTAATATTTTTCCCACTTTTAGATTTCAGAAGCTACTTATTTTTCTTGTTTTTTAAAAAATCTTCATATTACCCCAGTAACCTACTCCAAAGACATCCCCTGAAAATTTTATCACATGGGATTCCTTCATATTGAAAATTGTAAGAGGAAATATAAATTAAAAATAAGAAAAATAAATTATAATTTTCCCTAGCATAAAAATAGTAAGACACACTCTCCCTCCTTTTTCTTAGAGTATTTGCTTTAGAAAACATGATTGTGAATTCTCTCTGTGCATTGAGCTGTATGCATATATTTTAAAGAGCTCAATAAGCTTCTTGCCAGTTTTACAATCCAGGAATGTTTTTCTCAAGCACTCGGGAGCCATCCTTTTGGCTGGAAATCATCAAGAAAGACAAGTGCCCTTGTCTCCCAGTTTCTGTGGGAGGAGAAGAGCCTAAATTCGGCTGGCATCTTGCTCTAAGTTGCAAACTTGTCTCCTGTCATAAAGATTTGAGAATTTTTCTTTGGAATAAAGGCAATTAGCAAACTCAGTTGTGACCCCAAGTATCAGGTAAATCAAGGAGGAACTATAGCAATGGTGCTGCCAAGCCCTCTTACTTCAGGATTAGTTTTTGTTCATCTTGAGGAAGTATGCAATGGACTGTATCTTTGTGGGTGTATGAAGGGGTAAATTTTCTTTCTGTCATTGCACTCTCCTTAATGGGTTACCTGTGATGCACATTACATCCTGATTTTTAATGTGTGCCCAATGATGCAACTGTATTCTTTCTCCCTTTCTTTTGTGGAGAGGTGTTCTGGATTGGCAGGGGATTTTGTTTAGATATCCCCAGAAAATGGCCCAGAATCACTCTTCACCCATCTCTCTCCCTAAGAGTGACAGGACACTGTGAAAGTTTCTTGTGGCTCTGCCACTGACTGGCTATGTAATTCTGGGCATTTTATATCAGTGTTGGGAGCATCAATTCCCTCATAAGTGCCTTGAAAGTATAGAACCTCACAGTGTTATTGTGAGCATTAAAATGTCTTGTGAATTGCCTAGCTTAATGGCTAAAATAAAAAAGCCTCCAGAGTTGGAATCGCAGCTTTGACAAGGTACTCCCCAGATTGCCTCTGTGTCCTGACTTGTGTTCTATACCGGGAGTATGGGAAGGGCACCATTCCTGCTTTCGAGGCACTCATGACGATGCAGGGCTGTTCACTAGTTTCCACAGTCGTCATTCTTCAAGGGGCCAGAAGTGGAAGGATCCTTTGACGTAGAACCTCCTGGAAGGATCCTTTGATGTAGAACCTCCATTCAGAACAATTTCTATGCAACTGGGATACTCTCTGTGCTGAAGCATTCTGGAATGAATGAAAATATGCTGTTGGTGCCTTAAGCTGCACTCAAATACCCTGGTCTGTGAGGCTGCTTTGCTGCTTATAAAGTGGTATCAACACTAGGATTGGTACATGAGGGGCCATTCTGCCCTGATAAAAGTTTCTTTAGGTTTTTAGGATTAATTGCTGAATGAAGACTGAACATCTCTAAAACAGGAAGAGGGTTAATTATTTAGGCCAGGGCAGGGGAGGGGGAACAAGAAAATGTGTGGACCAGAATATTGTTAATAATGCACATGGTCCTCCTTTCTTATCACCAATTCTCTTTTCTTATCTCCAAGAGTCAAAATGAAGCTTTAGATTAAAACAAGACAATTTATTTCATATGTCTGCAATTTATTTCATATGTCTGCAATTTTGTATTTTCATGAATCCATCTTTCTTAGTATCAGGGGCCAACATGAACTTTTATTTATTTGTCCAGAAATTCTTTCCAACCTCTGATTGTTGTTCTTCACTAAACCATGCCAATACCCTCCATATCATCAGAAATTCAATAAGAAAAACAAAATCAAAGAAAGAGGGAAAGAGGGAAAAGAAAATGTATGTACAAGAAGAGCATGGAAAAATAAAATATAAAGAAAATGGCAGAAGATTGTTTGAACTGAAAATCATTATCTTTTTGAGTTTCTCAAAAGCAGCATTATTAACATTTGAGGCCAGGTAATTCTTCCATAGGGAGGGGTTTTCATGCATATTATAAGATATTCAAAAGCATCGCTGAGTTCTCCTCACTAGATGCCAGTAGCACCCCTCTCTTCTTCAGTTGTAACAACCTAAAACATCTCCAGACTCTGCCAAATGTCCTCTGAGGGTCGTCAACAGCTCCCTGCTGAAAACCAATAGTCTATATGTTACATTGATACAGCAGAAACTTTTAAGAGATTAGACATAGAGATATGTATTTCATATTTTATATATATATGTCCTAAAAGTTTCATTCTGACAATTTAACATATAGACCATTTAACATTCACTTCCTTAATCCTTTTCATATATATATATGTATTTTATATTTTTCATACATATGTGAAGAAGATTGAGGAAGTAAATACTTTTCTATTTTTGACATATTTCTTATTTCTATAGTGTTCACATGTCTTGGACTATTATTATATAATTTAAGTAACTTGAATAAATTCAACAAATAAGATATATAGAATATAAAATATGGAAATTGATTACATATATTCATATATTTATTTGTATTATATATAATGTATGTATAATATATACTTGTGTTATATAAGTATATACAATATTTATTTGCTATATGTATATTGCAAGTTATCACAACTGAGAAGTTTCCAGTCTGATCATGTCTCAAGTTTTAGCTTGGTCAGTATCTCTTACCTACAGCTCTTCATAGACATATGTAACTGGTTTCTTTATTCCACCTTTAAGCTACCATATCCCCATTTTGCACACAAATTATTCTACGTATACCCAGAATTTACAGAAAAAAAGACTCTTAAACCCTAAGAACTCTTCCATTATCCCCCTCCCCCACCACACACACACACCCCTCAGAGTATAGAGGGTGGAGTTAGCCATAGGTAGGTGGAACTTCACACTCCAAAGCTGAGTGACAATGCTTAGGAGTGGCTGCTGCTAAATCTATTTCATGGAACTAATATGTTACAGAAACAAAATTAGCTCCGGATTCAAGATATGATGCCTACCGATATTTAAAGGGACTTGGCATCAAGGTGTCTCCTTACAGCAGAAGGGTAAAGAATCATGAAGACACAAGTACGAGTCTTGCTGGGATTCCTGTGGATACAGATTTGCTGTGAGTTAAGAACATCCCAGAGGGAACCTGGAAAACATCACAACTGGATTTGGAAAGGAGTGAGGGAGGAAAGGAAAGGTGGAGGAAGATAAATAACACAAGTCTCTCGGGCTGTGTCCTTTAGCATAGGATGGAAACTAGGAAAATTTCCTGCACTTGGAGACAGCTACAGTCCTTTTGCAGTGACTCTCACCTGTGTCTCTTTTCTCTTTCTCAACAGGGGTAGGAGTACAGATGAAGGTAGCACAGAGTCCTGAGGTACTGAACCTCCAGCAGGGGGGGAATTCCTCTCTGAAGTGTAATTTTTCCATCTCCATAACCAGCATGCAGTGGTTCCAACAAAATCCCGGAGGACGTCTCATATCCCTGTTTTACATGGCTTCTGGAATGCGACAGAAAGGAAGACTAAAGTCCACAGTTAATATCAAGGAACGTTACAGCCACCTGTATATCACAGACTCCCAGCCTGAGGACTCAGCCACTTACATCTGTGCCGCGGGGGCACAGTGCTCTCCAGACACCTGCAGTCTGTACATGAAACCATAGGCGAAGTCCCAGCCCAAACCCCAGGGTGGCAGCAGAGGTCCGGGGTGATTGGGATTGCCTTCCCAAAGCCTTGCATCTCCTGATTCATGCAGGAAGCTTTTCTAAACGAGCTACGACTTGACACTACAGTGCAGGACATACCTGGTCCATCCGGAGATCTCTGGGGAGACTGTTACTAGGTAAAATCTATAGAGTAATCAACTCATATCTGATTCTGTCTTTCTAGACAAGAGTGAGCAGCCAACTCAACCAGAACAAGACAGAACCAATCTCACCTTGACTTTCTTTTCTACATCTTTATCGCTTACATTGGTATTGACAGAGCCCTGGGAAAAGCTCATGATCCTTTTTCTAATGTACTTTTATGGAGAAGAAAAGGAGGAGCGAAAATAAAGGGCCACTATTAGCATGAAAGATGGGTCGAGCTCCCTGCATACCACACCAGAGACTCAGCCACCTACCTGCATGCTGTGGAGGCACAGTGCTTCCCAGGCACCTGAAGCCTGAACGCACATATGTGGCTGCAGTCCCCAAACCCAACACAAGGGAACGATGCCTGTATGTTTTCACTCACTTCTAACATGGTGTTGAGAAGTGCACACTTGATAAATCAAAGTGATTTCACTTTCAAAACAATTTGGAACACTGATGAATATTCAATCTAGTAACTATCTCTGTCCTAAATAAAACCGTTTCTAACATCCTAATCCCAAAGTCAGAGAACTCATGAATCAGCAATTCCAGTTAGAGGATCCGTCAGAGTCATAACTGTGGAGCTCTGTGTTAAATGGGTATTTTCACTCTGAATGAAATTTTCTTGGTACCCTGTGTTATGCTCAGTATGATGGGAAATCATCAGAATGTCAAACCTTAAGTTATCAAAGAAACAGTAGTATTGTACTTTGTAATCCCTCACTTATTTATCCTCTAGATTCTTCCAGTGCATTTAATTGTTCATATTCAGTAGTATCTATTTATATCACTTCCCTCTTTGTTATGTTTTGGAAAGACCATTGGGGAGAAAAGCTAATTACCAGTCATGAGTATGTTCTGTGATCCTGAGCAAGTGAGTCACTCTCTTTGCACCCCAGTTCAGAATCCTCATCTACGTGGGAACAGTATTTGCCACCCACCATTACAAGTTTTCTACATGCAATCATTCAACAGATGTTTATTGAATACCTTTTAGATATTGGATAGGGAGTTTTGAATAAATAGTTTGTTCCCTTAATGAACATATAGTTTGGTGGGTGACATGTTTTTGTTACTATACCATTCCTGTAAAGTAAGAGAAAATTAAACTGGGGGAGCAAAGATTTTATAAAAACAAATAGATGCCAGTCAGAGATATCTCCCTGAGTATGCGATGTCTCAGCTTGAAACCAAGCAGTTTACTAGGTGTTAATCAGGCTGAAGGACTAAAGAGGGTGAGAAAAAGTGCTCCAGCTTGAGGAGAAACAAATACACACACACACACACACACACACACACACACACACACACACACACACACATAAAGCAAGGCAGACTGTGGCAAATTTAAGACTTAGAATGTAATTTGCCAGTGATAAAATCATATGCATGTTTGGCTGTCATGTTATGAGAAACTGAAAATAAATAAGATCCTTGGAATGAGTCGTCTGTACATTACAGTATGGTAAGGTGAAGGATGGGAGGAATAAAACTCACGAAGCCTGTCACACACTCTCGGAACACAGGTAGGGAAGCTACGTTGAGGACAAATGAAAAGAATCATGAAACTAATTAATGATAAGAAATAGTAGTTCTCTACAGACCATAATTCCTTTTTAAAAGCACAAATCATTTATAAATAAGCTGCACAAGATAGGATAAATATGACACATAAATATGATACGGTTTAACTACTAAATACAGCTTATAATTATCTTTAAAGGGAGGAAATATTTCTTACTTTAACATAACAAAGTATTATCTTAAGAGAAAATGATTAACTGGTTCTTGAAATACAGCTGATTGTGGAATTATCTTCTATAAGCTACTATAAAGCTGGAAAAATATATGAAAGAACTACTTTCAAGGAGTAAGGACAATAAAGTTTTCAATCCTTGGGACTGAATCTCCCAATCTTTGGGATAAAGAAAAGACTGTAAAGTAGCCTGCACATTCACTCAGCAGTTCTCTTTTGGTGGTATCTTCTAACCCTGAGCACACAGACTTGGAGCCCCAGCAGAGCAGCAGCCTTGTTGGGTGGAGGTAACAGAGATGGGAACCAGGGCTGTTAATATAACTGGGATTTTGGGGAAATGGTATTGGGGAGAAATAAGCCTCATGTGAAAGGACCCTAAAACCTGAATGAGGGGTTTTATAAGTCTACATGTATTCTGCACGTGCACAGAGACAGACATTGGGTTGCTGAGCAAAAAACAGCTTCTGGGGTCTACAAACTCCAAGGAGATGTCAGAGGCTGCTCTGTCCTGGGAAGACAGTAGAGCTCTGGCCATGCTGGAGTGAAGTAATCTTGCTAAACACATTGGACTTTCAACTGAGTCAGCAGGAGAAGGACTGCACACTAGGAGTAAGGGCTATGTCCTACGGCAAAGGGAAAATTGGAAAAAACCACAAAACCCTGCCTGAACAGAAATTAAAGTAAGTCTCAACAGAATCTAAGTGATCTACTGGTAATTTATCAAAGTTGACACTTTTTAGATGAGAAAACAATCCAGAGCTTCTGTACATTATTACCCCACATTGCATAGCACACAATAAAAAAAAATTACTAAAAATACAATGAAGTAGGAACAAGGACTAATAATCAGGAGATAAAATAATGAATAGATGCAGACTCAGAGATGATTGAGATTTGCAGTTGGATTTCAAAATAACTGACTAATATGTCCAGCACTTCTTCCTCTGGCTGACTGTGTTGACCAGCCACTACCATGTACCTAGCAAAGGACCTATGGAGATGGTAGTTTCGCCAGGCAGTAGCTTCCCTAGATTTCTCCAAGAACTCCCCCTTCAAATCACACTTCAGCAGGTGGACGTGCTTAATTTCTCAGATTGTCTGGTGAGGGATTCCCTCTCTGACCACCCAACTGTCCTTCCAGCTTTACTTCCCTGACTCATTTCCCAAGTCTGTAAGGCCAAATTCCTGTAATTAGCCTCTATCCCACACCACTCACGGTAACTCTGCTTCACTGACTGTACGCTGACTAACACATTGGGAAATGTAATAGATTTAATAAAATAATTCTATTAATAAAATGAATAGAATGGGTTTTTGTAATGTTTTTCAGTTATGTGTGTCCAGATATCTCTGGGAAGAAGTAATGTTCAGAAACTTAGTGTAATTTTTGGCTAGGAGTACCATAACAAAATACCACAGCCTGGGTGATATAAACAGAAGTTTATTTCTTGCAGTTCTGGAGGATAGAAGTCTGAGATCAAGGCATCATAGGATTGGTATCTCCAGTTAAAAATTAATTTAAATGGCTGCCCAATGCCTGCTCTCTTGTTGTGTACTCACATGGTTTTTTCTCTGTGCACATGCATCCCTGTTGTCTTTGTGTGTCCAAGTTTCTTCTTTTAAGGACACCAGTTAGATTAGATTAGGGCCCATCTTAACTACTACATTTTAACTTAATCACCATTTTCAAGGCTACATATCTAAAAATATGGAAACTTCTAAGATACTGGGGGTAAGGTCAGTTCTAGGTACTGGGGGCTAGGGCTTTAACATATTAATCGTATGTGTGTATTTCATCCCATAACACCTAGTATAACCAGGAAAAGAGTAAACCCTCAAAGAATGTATTTAACAACATGATTTGCAATGGAAAGCAGAGAGAAAAGAGTGACATGGTCTGTCATCTTCTATGTTCCCATGAAATGGGTGTGTAAGGGCACATGACACCAGGTAAGGATCGAGGAATAACATGTTTTAAATTTAAAAATTCTCATCAAGAATAAAATATAATTTTATCAACTATTTTAAAATAACAATTAAATCTGAGTTATTACCATAAAGATATAAAAAAAAATGAACTCACTTGCCATACAGATTCCTGGTAGTATAACTGAGTAGTTTTTATTGGGGAAGAGAGATTTCCTAAAATGTATCTTGTAGCTGAGTTCAATCTATGCAGATATGAATATGGATATTCTCTGACACCTAAACCTTTCAAGATTATGTCCTCATGATGTCTATAGACTTCACAAGATTAGGTAATTCTTTTTCTCATCTGAGAATACAGAACACACTAAATCACCTCATGCTAGTTCTAAGAGATATAATTAACTTCAGGGGTGATTTTAGTACTGAGGATCAATTTTGTTGTGTTGATTTGTGTTTTTGAGAGGTGCCCAGAATTTATATCAGGAGTAATTAGCCTATGACATTTACTTAACCAGAGCAAGTATGGACACTACTGAAGTCCATCATAAAATGCAATTTCATTACAGGCAAAACTACCCAAATGCCTGTTTTCTAAATTTGTAACCATTATACTAAACAGAAAGTCATACCATTATTTGTTCCACCAAAACAGCAACTCTTGTGCATATTTTTAAATAAGGTGTATGCCTAAGTACGTGAGTTGACAAAGAGTCAATCATTTGACCTTATATAATTCTCTATATTCTCAGTTATTTTATACTTGTAGAACGTAGAATGAGTTATGTGATCTCTGAAAATCTTTCCTTCTACAATATCTTATTTTAACTCTTTTAGGGGAAGGGATTATTGCAAATTGATCTTTAGGAAATGCATTTTCAGAAATTTTCCACATGTCGACTAAAGGGGGCAGTGTTTCCTCCAATAAAGAAGCCCAGCTTCAGCTAAAAACAGGGGACTTCAGAGGTGAAACAGAAGGCTGTGTGGAAGTAAGTGAGAGAAGTGCAGGAGGGTGAAGGCAAGTTGATGATTCTGGAGACAGGAGAGAAGTCACCTGTCTCCTCACAGGAGAGATGGACCAGCTTCTGGGGGCATCACTGTTGATCCTGTGGCTTCAGCCAGACTGTGAGTTGTGGGTGATGTTTGAATGTGGTAGAAAATCTCCTTGGAACACTGCAAAGTTGGGAGATGAGATGATTGGAGGGTTTCATTTCCTTGCTTTCTGCTCCTGATGGTTTTCTGTGGGGACTCCTAAGAATAAAATTTAAATCTGTAACTGTCTTTCCAAACAGGGGTGAGCAGTCAGCAGAAAAGTGGTGACCAGCAGCAGGTTAAGCAAACGTCTCCATCCCTGAGTGTCCAAGAACGAAGAGTTGCTATTCTGAGCTGTGACTACAATAATAATTTGTTTGATTACTTCCTATGGTACAAGAAATACCCTGCTAGAGGTCTTGCACTCCTGATATCTACAGGTTCAGATAAAGAAGAAGATGGAAGATTCACAATCTTCCTTAACAAGAGTGCCAAACACTTCTCCCTGTATATTGCAAACTCCCAGCTGGGTGATGCAGCCTTGTACCTGTGTGCGGCAAGTGCACAGTGCTCTCCAGGCACCTGCAGCCTGTACCCAAACCTGCAGCTGGGTCCAAGCCACCCCTGCTTTAGGGTCTCAGAGTGGGAGGCACTCAGAAATGCTTCAGTTTATACAAGACAATAGGGAGGGTGTGTTTTAAAGCAGGGGAGGCAAGCTGAGCTTTAAGGAAGACTGATACATGGGAGCCCTGCAATTGGGTCAAGAATATCCCTGGGCATTCAGGTATCCAAGAGTGTAACCATTCTACTTTTTCATTTAGTGACTTTAGAGAATAGGGTTTATGCTTGAAAAGCTCAACTACAGGACCCACACTAGG